CTATTATAATTCACTTCATTATCACACAAGCATTTATTTACAAGGAACCGTAAAACTTCCTTGACAGGGATTGCGAGTGGGGTTTTTTTAATGAGATTTTTCATAGGAGCAAAACGTTGTGGTGCAAAGCGCTCGGGTTTCTTCTCCCAAAGCAGGCACCGATCTCCAAAACTCAAAGGAGAGAAGCTTTTACTTTAAAAGACTGGAAAACATGACATTTGGTCAAAATGATGGGTCCCATGGCGCAAGCCGTGGAAACGGCCGTGGTGGGACATGGGGAAGAGCCTCCGCTGTCCGGGGAGAGCGGACCAGAACTTGCTGGTTGCACACAGAAATATTTACGGGGCATTTCACACGTCCAGAAGTAGCAGAAGGGAAACAACTGCCTCACGCAGGAGAATTTTATTCTGTAGAAAGCCGTTCGTTGACGATGGCTGTCTTTAGGTGTTTATCATCCTCCTGAGCCTTCAAAGCCACCGGATTTGCGCGCAGCCGTACAGGCTAATTAGCCCTTTGATCTCCTAGTATAGGTTTTTTGGGGAGGAGTTGATTTTACATTTTGAAATCTAGCCTGCGAGAGCACACCGGGTTTCATTATATGGCATTGCCTAGGAGCTTTATTTAATATCTTTTTTAATTAAACTGAGTTTTGCCAGTGGAGAGGTTAATAAATACTTTAACACCTTAGTCTTTCTATATTCTTTTCTTCTTTTCTGCCCATTAAATTAATCGGCGTGCTGGTTTTTGGAACTGTCAGGTTGGGAAAGAAGAAAGTCACAGGTTTACATATTAGTCTCAGGAAGATCCTAAATACCTGCTTCTCGGCACCCCTGGCTTTTTGGGGTTTTTACTGAAAGCAGAGCTTTATGCAGAAATGCGACTGCTCAAGCGGCGCCGCATTTTTGGTGTCTTTTCTGCCAAGTGAAATTTTCGGTTTGGAACAAAAGGGTGGATGTTGGTTTATATTTTGAATTACAGAAGAGGAAAATCAAGCAGCATCTACGTCCTTGCAGCTTGGCTGCAGTGCCCCATCCTGTAGGAAAAGCCCGGCTCTGCCAGCAGCAGTGGTGGCCCTTCCCTTGCCCCGGGTCCTGCTGGTGGCCGTTGCACCCCTCCATCGATCAGGTACCAGAAGCATCTGATAAAGCCATCGATCGAGCCCCTGGCTCTTCGCCGCCGCCGCGAAGCGCTGCAGCGTGTTAATGTCAGATGCAAACGAGTTACCCCCGGTGCTGCGGGAGTCGGCTTTCGCTCACGGATTTACTTTTATCCTTAATTAAATAATATATGATAGCGCGCAGAAAGAATGATTGAATTATTGATGGGCTGCCCTAAAAGCTTTTGGATCCTGCCTGGTAAGGGGGCTTACCTCTGGAAGCTGCGCTTTGTAGCTTGAATGTTTTGGAGAAATTAGTGCTTTACCACTGAACGCGGCTTTTTGGTTTGTTTTCTTTTGCAGAAAATACCGAGGGGGTATCTCTGCAGCTTGGGAACACCCGGGATTTTATTATTTCTTTCGATCTCAAATTCGTAACGAACGGGAGCGTTTCCGTGGTTCTCGAGACGACGGAGAAGAACCAGCTCTTCACTGTGCACTACGTCTCCAACACCCAGCTCATCGCTTTTAAGGACCGAGACATCTACTACGGCATCGGTCCCAGGACTAGCTGGAGCACCCTCACCAGGGACCTGGTGACCGACCTGCGGAAGGGCGTCGGCCTCTCGAACACGAAAGCCGTGAAGCAGACCAAAATCATGCCCAAGAGAGTGGTGAAGCTGGTAGCGAAGGGTAGAGGCTTCCTCGATAACGTCACCATCTCGGCCACCGCTCACATGGCTGCTTTTTTTGCTGCCAGCAGCTGGCTGGTGAGGAACCAGGACGAGAGGGGTGGCTGGCCCATCATGGTGACGAGGAAGCTGGGGGAAGGATTTAAGTCCTTGGACCCGGGCTGGTACTCGGCCATGGCGCAAGGACAAGCCATCTCGACGCTGGTGCGGGCGTACCTGCTGACGAAGGACCACACGTTCCTCAGCTCGGCTCTGCGAGCGACGGCGCCGTACAAGCTGCCGTCGGAGCAGCGCGGGGTGAAAACCGTCTTCATGAACCGGCACGACTGGTACGAGGAGTACCCGACCTCACCCAGCTCCTTCGTGCTCAACGGCTTCATGTACTCCTTAATCGGGCTGTATGACTTAAAAGAAACGGCTGGGGAGAAGCTGGGGAAGGAAGCACGGGTCCTCTACGAGCGGGGCATGGAGTCCCTGAAGGCCATGCTTCCCCTCTACGACACCGGCTCAGGGACCATCTACGACCTTCGGCACTTCATGCTGGGCACCGCTCCCAACCTGGCCCGATGGGACTATCACACCACCCACATCAACCAGCTCCAGCTCCTCAGCACCATAGACGAGTCCCCCATCTTCAAAGAGTTCGTCAAGAGGTGGAAGAGCTACCTGCGAGGCGGCCGGGCAAAGCACAACTAGAGCTTACAACCAAACCCCTCCTCGGTCCTGCTGCCTCGCGGAGGTACAGTTTCAAAGGTTGCATCCTAAATTTTTTACGGACCGTTTCAAAGAAGTGATCCTTAAAACTGATCTCCTGAAATCATTGCATTCCAGTGTGAAAATACTTGGGTCTGATGGGTGGGATTCGGGAACTTCACCTGTCCTTAGTGCTCCACAGCAAAACTATCTGCACGAAGCAAAACCCCTTTGTGCTTCTGAGTTTGGGGACGTTTTTTGGGTTGTTTGGGTTTTTTTTTTTTCCTTTTTGTAGGAAAATATTTGCAGAAGCCATACAGGTCTCTGAAGTCCAGCACTTGCCTGAAAAGTTAAGTCTGTGGCCTCTCTTAAAAAGGAGTTCTACGTGTCTGTGTTGGAACAGCGTAACAGATCATGTGGTGTAACGCCGTAAATGTGTATTTACTTGTAGCCTGGGTAGTGGACGGTGTATCCTTGTAACGGTGGGGTTTTTTTGAATACGGATTCTTTTCTTGGGGTGAAAAATACACTACTTTTTCTTTTTTTTTTCTCTTTTTTCCCCCCAGTTCTCTGTATGGGGATCCTTTAGCTGTGTGGTTTCTTTACAGATGCGTGGACGGAAAGCTCGCAGGCAGCGTGCAAGGCTTCAAAGTCACATCACGTAAGCCCCGCAACTCGGTGGGGCTCCCGCAGACCTCGCAGAGCCTACAACCATCCCACCCCCCTTTCATACAGCCAAACGTACCCTCGCCCGTCAGGTTCGCTGGTGTCATCTGCCCCCTGGTAGCGGGGATCTCTTGTCGTGGAGCCTGACGTTTTGTGCTGTGTTTTTTAATTACACCTGAGAGGTTTCTCTAAGCTTTGGCCACTTCATTCTTTGGGAGCCTTGGCTTGAATTCCTGAGTGTGACGTGGAGCTCATTTTGAGTAGCGCGCAGGAAATTCAGTCGGAATTAATTAAGGTTTTCCTACGGTGATTTTCATTTTTAACCTGCTTGAGTATATCAAGCATTTTAAAAATTAAAATTACCCCAGGGGGCTTCCCAGCTCCACCTGTGCTTTAATACCGAGCTTCACCTCTGCCTACTGTCTTACTCATCGTATAAGGGGTTATTACATCTCCAGCACTGGCTTCTTGGGTGCGCTTTGTCTTTATGGCTCTGCCGAGCGTGCAAGGGTACTCGTGCAATAACCAAACCCAGGCGTCCGAACCCAAACGCTTTCACTGTACTGTTGTCACGCAGAAGAAACCAGGCGGTTTCTTTTTCCTATTTGTCTGTCCTTCACACCCGCCTTCTCGGCGCGGAGCGTCCTGGTTGATCCGGAAGAGTAAAACCAACCGATTGCATCATTGGATCGGGGATGTTTAGTTTGGTAGCGTAGCAAATACCGGGTTATCGGCTCTGTTGAGGCATGCTGGTGTTTGCTGTAGGATTCCCAGGCTCAAACGCTCCCAACGGATGCCAGCGCTGGAAGGACACGTTTTAGCTTCGGGTTTTTTCCACTGGTCCTATTACGTGTTGTACCTGTAGGTGGGGGTTAAGCTTACGATGTTCATACTGAGGACAAAGTTCATTCAAAACACAAAAAGGCTGGGCACAAGGACAATATGCATCTTGATTATTTTAATTTTTTTTTCCTTTTCTCTATTTTTTGATGCTTTTTCTATTTCTCGCAGATATTTGAAGCAACTTTGTAATTACTTGATCTTTGCAAACGCATGCTACGATCATACCAATACGAGAAGTGGATTTCACAGGAGAAAGTTCAATACCAAAGGTAGCAGAGGTGAATTTTTCTTTTTTTTACGTACATGTGTATACACACGCGCGCGCACACACACACGGAACCCAGAAAATGTGCTTCCTTTACGAACGACTGGTCCTAATTGCAAACACAGAAACATCTTTCTCCTGTGTGTTTCCTCCATCTTTTGCCCGTTTTGGATTTGGAGGATCTAGAGAGACTTTGGGTGCTGCTCAAGAGGTGGTATCGGTGCCTTACGGAGGCCACAATTTCCTCTTTTTTTTTTTTTCTTTTTTTTTTTTCTTTTTTTTTAATTAATGCCAGTTGAAAAATTGCAGTGTTGCTGATCTTTCAGTGCTTCGTGAGGGTCAGCCCGGCAGCTGTTGGGTAGGTGAGCTTGGAAGCGTAGGTTGGCCATGCCAACGCTGTCGGTCCTATCAGACCACCTTAACATCTCCATCGCATTTTTATTGGCCTTAGCACACGTGTAAATTAAACCAACCACCATCAGAGGTTGTAGAACCGAAGAGAGTTAGTGTGGGGGTTTCTCCTGGTTTGTTTGGTTTGGTTTGGTTATTTTTTTATTGAGTTGTGCAGTGGAAGAGGATTATTGGATATCGGTGCCCATAGCTCCATCAAACTGACTGAAGTTGAGGTTTGGTTGGTTGGTTTCAGTCTTCAAACTGACAAAGGTCTTCGTCGTTAAGATCTGTTTAATCTTTCCATGAGGCTTCCTGTACATAGACTTCATCGGCAACGCAGTGCGCGTGGGCACACACAAACCAGTGACACACAAGCACAACTGTACCAGTGTGGCAGTGCCGTTTTTTCTCCGCCATTGTGCAAGACATTCACTGAAAGCTGCTATTTTCATTCACCTTGTAATTGTACTTTTGTGTTTTCTACATTACTTTTTTTTTTTTTTTTTTTTTTTACATGTGGGATAGACACCATGTGTTAAATATGCAATAAATTGTTTACAGGATGCTCTTGTAAAGGGTGGTCCTTTGTAAAGCTGTACAGACTTTGCAGTTTAAGCACAATGTGCACACGTTAGTTTTATATACAGCGAGACGTGACTTTTTGCAGAGGGAAAGGTTCTACTATGTTTATATACAAAGTAAATGGATCAACGTTTGTGCTTCATGTAAAGCTGCTTTATAAGACTGTAAAATAAATTTTTTTATCTTAAGACAAACGTGGGGCGTTTTCCTTGGGCCAGTCGGTCACGGCTGGGCCCTGGTGAGCAGTCGTCCTGCTGTGTTCCGAGGTGTCTCCTTTTAGGGAATTTTAGAAGGTTTTTATTTGAAGGAAGATGGAAAATATTCATTCTTCACCAGGAGTTTGCTGATTCGGGGTAAGGACCACAGATGTGTTCTCTGTCTGCCCAAGGGGAGTTCACACAGTATCTTGCTGATAGGAGTTATTTTTGCTAAGTGCATCTCATTTTGAGTTCACATGACCCATGGCAACCAACTGGTCACTAAAAAGTACCCTACAAAGACCACAGGTGGTCTGCGGGGGTCTCTTGCCATGAGCAAGAAAGGCACCAGCCTCTTAACTCCCCTTTTCAGCTAGAAATGTGCAAGTCCTATCAAAATTCCCCCCCCAAAATCGGGGTTGGGGTCACCTCTGCCTTAGCCACTCCAGGCCTGAAGCAACACTTCCCCCCTCGACGCAAAAGTGCCTTGATCCGAAAGTTAAATCGGCGCCGAGTGGCGGTGCCTCGGGGTGCAGCCAGGATGCCGCGTTTGGGCTTGGGCCCGAGTAATTTTGTGTGACTGAAACGCACAGAGCAAATCCGCCGCCGGGCAGAGCTTCAGGACCATCTCCCAGCTGCTTGGGTGCAAACATTGATTCTTATGACTTAGCAGTTTGTTAAAAACGTACGAATTGAAAATAGAAGTGGATCTAAATACATCGTCTTGGTGATGAATTTGAATGTGTGCTGCTCAGTTCGTGGTGAAAGGCGATGCATTTCCCATCTGCCTGGCGTGACCGATGGCTCCTGTGCGCGCCTCGCGCTTCCCCAGCGTTCAATAGCTGCGGGTATACTTTACCAGTCTCTTCCAAAAATGTTCGACGCCAAGTGCTCAGCATTTCAGCCTGTTGAGCGAGGTGGGCTTTTGCAGTGGTGAATCCTGGCACTCACTGGCTCCAATCGTTAGGGCAGGAAATGTTTTAAGAGCTCGCCTCCTTGAATTTGTATCACTGAGCAACTTGCCGAGTAGCCCTCGATGGGCTGTAGCTCACTCTCGATGGGCTGTAGCTCTCATTGGGCTGTAGCCCGCTCTCGATGGGCTGTAGCTCTCATTGGGCTCTAGCCCACCCGCATTGGGCTGTAGCCCGCTCTCGATGGGCTCTAGCCCGCTCTTGATGGGCTGTAGCTCTCATTGGGCTCTAGCCCGCTCTCGTTGGGCTGTAGCCCGCTCTCGATGGGCTGTAGCTCTCATTGGGCTCTAGCCTGCTCTTGATGGGCTGTAGCCTGCTCTCGATGGGCTGTAGCTCTTGATGGGCTGTAGCCCGCTCTCATTGGGCTGTAGCTCTCATTGGGCTGTAGCCCGCTCTCGATGGGCTGTAGCTCTCGATGGGCTGTAGCCCGCTCTCATTGGGCTGTAGCCCGCTCTCGATGGGCTGTAGCTCTCATTGGGCTGTAGCCCGCTCTCATTGGGCTGTAGCTCTCGATGGGCTGTAGCCCGCTCTCAATGGGCTGTAGCTCTCGTTGGGTTGAACTGAAGATTAACAGAACAGAGCACCTTGTGCCGTGGTAATTGCCACTAACGAGCAGAGGGTGGGGGTGGGGAGCAGAGGGGTTCTGGCCCTGCTCTCGTGGCTGCTCATGTGGTTCCCATCTCGGGGAAGAGGAGGACCTGTGCCTGCCTTGCTCTGGAAGGGGTCAATTACTAATTGGCTAATTACAGCGAGGTCAGGCTCCTGGTGCTGAGTGTGGGAAGAACCAAGAGTGTTGGCCCGGCCTCAAGCACCTGAGGTTCTGCCCTTGCCCTCGGCGTGTGCAGATGCTGGAACCAGGTCGTGCTCGTGGTGCTGAAGGTAAAGTGTCTCCCTGTTGGCTTTTTTCTTCTATTTTTCTGAATTAGTCTGGATTAATGGTGTTTGCTGGTGGGGAAGCGTTCCACGTACAGCCTCCCTTCTGCACCATCCTGCTGTGGCTCCGTCCCTCGCCCCTGGGCCCCCCTCTATCAGCAGAAATGCTGCCCTGAAGAGTTTTCCCTGTTGGTAAGCCCAGCCTGATGCCTTCCTGAGCTG